TTGTGCAGTTGCCGTGTCTGGAAGAGCTAGCATGTATTGTTCTTGGTTATTTGGAAACTAATCACAACACAAAATTTCATACAACAGAATTCTCTTGTATAATATGCTGGCATTAAGCTTTACCTACATGTAGTTAGTTATCCCTGATATATATAGGTCTAACAAATCACGTGATTAATTTAAAATAAATAATGTAGTTGTAAATACTGTTATTTTGCTAGAAATTCTCACCTTTAATGAACTGTGTTTCCCAGAATACAGCAGCGTATTTAAGGTCATTCTGTTGATCAAATGACATCGTGGAAAGCTTTGAAAAATGTAAAGTTCTATACTAATTCACAGCAGCAATATTCAACATTTGTATCAAACCTCATTTTTAGTGACTTTGGACACACTTAGAGTTCTCCCATCTCCACTGCTCCTTCACCTGTTGCCTCAGTTGACATTCAGTGTTTTCCTCGATGGGGAATATGGGTTAGTCTATCAAGTGAAGTAGTATTCGTGGAAAGGCTTTGAAGACGCGTGCTGCACAAACGTAAGGCATCATACATGTACCCATGTTAGAGAAGAAGGGCTAAGATTCTCCTCAAACTTACATACAGCTCACTGATGAGGTTTTTGCTCGCTTCTCCATGTTCTGACATTTAAAAAATCTATTTCTAAGGCAGAGTTTTAAACACTAACTACCAGAATGAACTCACACTTGATTCCATATATTCTGTGCTTAACATTATTTTCTAACATGTCCTGGCTATAAAGTTTTTGTCATTTTCCCCTTGTTAGGTAAGGAGGCAAAGTCTCAAGAGCCTTCATAATAGTGGATCTTTGATGTGGAGTTTTCCCAGTGTCATTTTCACTGTTATAGGTATCTTCTTTCTGTTTCATATTCTCTCCTCTTTCCATTTCCTCACTATCCACACACCCCAAAAATGTTTAAGAAATAAGTAGAATAATGGAGTTTAAGTTACAAAATTAAGATTTCAAATAGCTTTTTGGATTGTATAATTTTTAGTTTTACCTTGGATTATATCACACGATTTTGCCCCTTTTTTCCCCTGATCCTTATATTCCACCACCACCAATTGTCAAATTTAGATTATACAGGTGTTCAATAGATTAATTTCTAATAACCCTTTTTTTGTGCTCCTTCATTGAATTCTGTTGTATTTGGGCATAATTTCTGGTAATAGCCAGAAAAAGAAGGCATATTTCAGGATGTAAAGGTGTTCTAACCAAAGAAATACATTCTCTATTTCTTATTTCAAGTTATTTTGAAACTTTCTGGTGGTGACAATGGTCAGTCTTAGACTTGCATATACAAAATTGCTATGCCTTTTAAGGAATTGTCAGGATTCAGAAACTCGGGTTATGTAACATTGTATAGTTCAGCTTTTTTTCTTATAAATATTAGCAGTCATTTTAATACATTTAGAGTCCTTCTATTTTACCTTAAAATTCTTTCACAGATAATATTTGGAGAGTATAATGAAGCAACAGAAATAGTATTACTATGACATTTGGAAACATGGTGCACAAAACATACTATTGCCGTTTAACCCCCACTATTCCTCATTTTCCTATATGCAAATGAGAACTGTGGAGGATGCTTTTAGTATTTACATTTTAACAAATGGTAACTAGCTACATTGTTAAAAGGAAAATTTATGAAAAGGAAAATGAAAATCAATGAATATGCAATTACACAGTTATCAATGTTTATTAAAATTACAGCAAACAAAATGTTGAAAACAGTAGTCTCTCTTTATTTCATAATTGGGATTAAATTACAAGGATGCATGTGACTCCAACTTTTGTCAGTCATTTCATTATTTGCAAGGCTCTGGCCCATTTTGTTTGGCATGGTTGGCACAGCCTGAAAAAAATGTGGACTTATTGTTCCAAACAGAGGTATTCTTGAGGCATGTTCCTCAAACCATATTCCATAGCATGGGAGAAGGGTGCTTCTATAGAGTAACAATTTTTCTTCCTATTCCCTCTAGGCTTTGTAAAACTTAAGTCAGATGTTACATATGAGGTGTGATCAATACAGCGAATGTGGAAATTTAAAAAATTTATTACAGTAAAAGACACATTGCCATTAATCCCTCTCAAAATACTCCCCCTTGCTTCGAATACACTTTATCCCATTGTTCTTGCCACTTTCTGATGCAGTTCTGGAAGTCCTCTTTCGTGAGTGTCTTTAGTTGCGCTCTCGGCTGGCTGCCTAGCTTTTCCTTTTCAAGTCTGCTAATAGGTAAGTCATATTCATTGATTAATTGGAATTTTAATTTAAAAAGCACTGAACTCAGTGATATAATACACTAGATTTTAAGCTAATCATTGAAAAGCCTTTTTCTCAAATTTAAGAATATCTAGTAAGGGTTTCTGGAAAGAGGACCCCCACCCACACCACTTCTATTTTCTGCTAAAAAAGGTTTATGAAAATTAGTACCACCTGTAGTTTGGAAATATGCACCAAAGATTTTCATAATTCACATTCTTTGGCAAAGCAATTCAATTCCTAGAAATATATTCCAAAAAGAAACAACTTAGTAAGTTGTAAGACTTCTTTTTGTATTCTGGATAAACTTTGTCATACATATTTATTGCAAATAATTTTCTCCATTTCTGTGATTCATTTCTTTCAAAGATGTTAATTATGTCCTTTTAAAATGCTAGTACTTAATGTCCTAAGAAATCTGCCTGTGCCAAAGTCATTGAGATCCGCCTCCCCCCAGTTTTTAGAGGTTTTGTAGTTTTTATAGCATTTACATTTAGGTATATCATTGATTTTGAATATTTCTTTTTTGTATGGTGTGAAGTGTAAGAATCAAGATTTATTTTCTTCCCATGTAGAAATCTAGCCAGCACCATTTGTTGAAAAGACTATCCTTTTCTATTAAATTATCTTGTCACCTTCATGGAAATAAATTGGCCACATATGTGTGGATCCATTGTATGGAATCTATTATGTTCCACTGATTTTGATGTCCAGTCTTACATCAGTGTCCCACTTTATTGACTACTGTAGTTTTTCAGGAAGTCTTGAAATTAGGTAATGTAAATTCTTTTTTTTTTTTCTAAAAAAACTTGGCTATTTCATGTCCATAATTTTGCATTTCCAATTTTAAAACCATCTTAGTTTTTGCACATAAAAACGGGGGTTTTATTGGAATTACATAGAATAAACATCAATCTAGAGGAAATGCAAACAATATTGAGACTTCTAATCCATGAATATTGTATAGCTTTCTAGCTTTCCAATCATTTAGATCATCATTTGGCTAGATACAGAAATTTAGTTTGACTTTTTTTCTTCCTGTCATCATATTAAAAATGTCATTTCATTATCTTCTGTCCTGCATGGTTTTTTGGTGTGGAGTCTGCTGTCATTTTCTTCTCTGTATAATGTATCTTTTATCTGGCTGCTTTTAAGTTTTACTCTATGTCTTATTTTCATCAATTTCATTATGATATGCCTCTATGGTGTGGGTGTGGGTGTGTGTGTGGGCGTGCAGGCGTGCACTTGTGTGTGTTTATTATTTTTAGAGTTCATTGAGCTGCTCTGGGTTTCTAGTTTCCATCAAATTTGGAAAGTTTTTGGCTATTCAAATATTTTCTTCTCTCTTCTCCTTCTGGGTTTGCAATGACATGTATATTAGGCTACATAGAAATATTTCTTCTAAGGCAGAGATTTGCTCAGAAATTAAAGAATAGGCAAAAACTAAAGGATGAGAAAAGTAATGAGAGCCCTGAAACTGACTTAAGGGCATTTGCCAAACCCAGTGAGGTTTTTCTTTGGTTTTCATGGCCACAAGGGGTTTAGCAGTCAGGACATATACCCCAGTGGTGCCCAGTTGTCAAGGTCTAAAGGAAAACCATTTCCAGCACCATCTCCTGAATAAAACCAATTCCACCAAGAGTTATATCCTCAGTGTAAGAGTAACGGGAAAATAACCTGCATCCAGAGTACTGCAAGACAAACTTCCCACCTTGTTCTTGTGTTGATATGAGGATATTCCCTGAGAATTCAAAACCATAGCCCAGCGCTGAATACAATAAGGTCTACAAAACCTTCAAGACAAGAATTGAATTTACAGTGGTAGTGCCCTGCAGGCCCTGGCAGAAGTAAATCAGATCCTCTCTGAAAGAACCTACCTTCAACTCAGTCCTCAAAGGATTTAGTCCTCAAAGGATTTCCACAGATAAGATTCCATGGGAGTATGTGCTTGCTGTCACAAATAATAAACATACAAGGAAACAAGGCATCACAAACGTAAACTAGCAGGAACAATAGAATTGGACCTGCAAAGGTTTCAGACAGCTCAATTATCAAGCCCAGAATATGTTTTTTAATAACGTAAAAGAAAAAGATTTTAAAATATAAGGCCAATATTCTATAAAAAAATTTACCTAGATTGTAAAAAAGCCAAATATTCAATATATAAGAAACATAATAAAAATTAGAAACTGAAAGGCTTTAGCAGAATAAGAGTTCCTTTACTGGAATACAAACCTAAAGAAATTACAGAGAATGAAAGACACAGCTATGGAAAGTATGAGAGGTTATGACTTAGAAAAAAAGAAGGCTTAACATGCATCTAATTGGATTTCCAGAAGGGAAGGAGAAAGGTTGAGCAGAGGCAAATTTGAAGAGATAATAGCTGAGAATTTCCAGAATAATGAAAAATAACCACAAATCAACACATTCAACAAATTCTAAATAAGAAAAATATTAATATCCAGAAACACTATTGAAACTTCAGAACTACAAAGAAAAAAACGAAGATCTTAAAAGCAACCAGAATGAAAAGACACTGCCTTCAAATGAAAAATTGGACTGACAGCTTACTTCTCAACAGTGATAATCAGAGACAGTAACAGTTTAATCTAGAACTATGCCCAGCACAAATTTCCTTTCAAAGAAAAGCCATTTTCAGAGTTTGAAAATTGTTTTCGTCAACAGGCACTATTGGCTAAATTTTTCATTCAGTAGAAGGAAAATGATCCCAGTGGAAGGTGGGAGGGAGGTGAGAAGGGATGATGAGCTATGAATGTAGTAAATATGTATACAAGGGACAAAATCCAAAGTAAAGTTTTAAATTAATTGAACTATATTTAATACAAATCCTCTCATAGTTCTTGGCTCACTAAGATAATACTGGCATTACTATAGTTTTGAGGAAGCAAAAAAACACAAAACCTGTCTGGAGGGAAAACTGCCTTTGAACACACGCACACTGAGCTGATAACAATGGCTTAAGAGGTGGGAAGGATCACTCATGTAAAATTGTGACCGTTTAGTCATAAGTTGAAGAACCCATTTGTACATAACCCTTGTGATTAATTCAGACATTATAATCAGCCTTGCTTTCTCCCTAATAAGCCCTACTCTCAAACCAGCAGGTAGGTATACACTCAATCAACATCCAGGACAGCAGACACCATTTCCAACGACTTGTTTATTGAATGTCATGAATACAACTGACAATATATGGAAATGAAGTGGATACAGTTGTGCTCAACTGACATGCATTTCACAGTTCATTGTGAAAGTTTGAAAGGTTAACAAGTTTGATTAGCACTTTTTCACAAATATATTGATTTCTGAAAAACATTTTTAGTAACTATTGATTTTAAAAAATATGTATTGATTAGAAGGAAAATCTAAAAACCTGTTTATTAAATGAATGATACTTAAGTGAGTTTAAAATAATGGGTTCACCTTCCATTTTCCACAACTTTGACCTGTTTTCTTACTATTAATTCACAGAACCTGGGACTCTGTTTTTGAAGTTAACTTCCTGGGGTTGCTGGGAGGTAGGGTAATTATGAAAAAGGAAACACTTCAATTCTGTGTATAAAAGACTGCCTCGCATAACTTCATGAGCCCCAAAAAGTACTTACATTTAAATAGAGTCAAAGGCACAGGTATTGTCCATTAAGAGAAATATACAGATGAATGTCTGTCTCATCCCCCTCTAGTCCAAGTTAGTGAAATTACATTGCTGTCACAAACAGCGGACATCAGTATGTTAATTTTAGTAGCAGAACCAGGAGGAAACGACTGCTATACAGAAAAACATACAAATATGTAGATAAACGTGAAAAACAATAATGTGGACTGTTTACTGTAAAACTTTCTTAACATGGATATACTGGATTCAGTGCCCACAGCGACTCCTACTTTATTCCATGGAAGTGGGTCTCACAATGGTTTAATCGCCCATCCCCATCCCCAAATGTCTTAAGTGAAATGAATCTCAGCAAATTCTGAATGATTGCTGTACTTCACTTAAATTATCTGTAAGTACAAACATCAACTGTTACGGCAAAAATAGCCTATGAATTGTAAACATACCAAGAAGGACAAGCTCATGCTCACAGGAGAACCTGCCCTGAGTCCTAGTCTTTGGAGAGAGATCAGATGGCTGCACTAGTGGCCACATGGGAGCGAACGCCCATCTTCGTGTCACAGAGAACGCGTTCCACAGGCCCGGTGTGTGCTCACCAACCGATACAGGGGTCTGGGCAATCCCGCAGGTAAGTTTCAAATTGACCTTTGGTAACGTCCATCAAGGTTGTGAATACAGTCAGCTGAAAGAAAAGTTATTTTTACTTCAAGGATGCTTGAATTTTAAGATGTCCTGACTCATTAGCATTTCTTTACCTGTGTAACTCCTTTATGAACTTACTTAATATTAAATAATTAATATACAGTATTACATTATATGTATTACAAATAAAGATATAAAAAATACAAAGGTCCAAATAATTAATAATAAATAATAGTAATAAAAACAACTGACTTATTCTAGGTCATGAATATGAACAGGCTTGGGAGAGAATCTTCAGTTCTTTACAAGGTCTCATTCCTGAGCCGTACACTGCTTTACCACCAATGCTTTAAGATTTACCCCTCCCCTTAATGTGTAACCTGCAGTCATGCAAAGCCTAACAGTATATATACAATGGGGTATGTATGAACAGTTGAGCTTTGGCTGTCCTTATCCTGAAAGCATGTGCAGTGAGGGACACTGCAGGCACGCAGATTACAAGGCACCTCTGAGAGAGCCCACAAAGGTGCTGTGGACAAAGTGACAAGTATGGCTGGGTTAGTGGACTTTAGACAAGCTTCCTGCAGGAGTCAGGTTCTGATCCAAACGCCTAATGGGCAGGAGGAATTTGTTCTGGCAGAGGTAATGGAGGCATGCTGATTTCAGGGAGGGTTAGGAAAAGACCAAAGAAGAGAAGGAACTACTAAGGTGAGTGTATTCAGAATACACAAGGGGAGACGATTAGCAAAGTGGAAGATTAGGAAACTTTTTGCAATTTTTTAGCTACAATGTGGGGAAAAAGCATACAAGAATGTAATACAGTTAAAGAGAAACCTTAATCCACTAAGACAAAGCTCTATCTTAAATTGGACTTCAGACTTTGTTTTGTTGAGTTTTACGTGTTAGTTGTAGTGTACAGCATAACATTTCTGATAGATGGGGAGAAGTCAAAACTAAAATACTACACTTAATTCAATGCCATGTAAGTAAAACTGGAAACAATACTGTGACCATATTGGACATCAAGCCACAGTAATCAGTTTCTTGGTCACTTCTCAACAATTACTATGTTAGTCACACGAAAACATTAAAAAAAATCAGCCTTAAGCTAAATGTGACTTGAGATTCTACCTTTGATTTATCCAAGATAACAGGGAAAGATAAAACACAGGACCAAATTCTTTCCCTAAAAACAAATGTGTGTGTGTGTGTGTGTGTGTGTGTGTGTGTGTGTGTGTGCGCGCGCGCGCTTATTTATTTATTTTAAAAATACCTTGTTGAGGACAGGTTTTGTTGACAGGACATCATATATGGTTGATAATGACATTTTCTAAAACACAAAAATAGATTTGTTCAGTAAGTTAAATACAGATGCCAACAGCCTTATCCACATAAGTGGGTCATTAGAAATCAGGACCTAATTTAATTAAGCCCCCCAACCCCCTACATGAATTTCCCTTGGAGTCACTGTTAAAACAGGTAATGGTTCTAATGTATCACTTTTTCTTTTTCATTCTTCCTCTCCTCTTTAATTCTTGTCTGTTTGTCATTCAACTTCACTGAGTGGTTTCCAGCATTAGAATAAGAAAGGGAAGTAACAACAAAATGTTGCCCTTTAAATTTAAAACAAAACAAAAACTCAGGACTGTTCAGAGATACTGAATAATAAGAGGTTTATAAATTCTTCAAAGGCCAAAGAAAAATGCCAGAACTAATATAATCTTTAATGGTCACCATTTCTTTCTATTTATAACATTGTGAATGTTACCTCTTGGGTTGTGTGGTTTAGACACGTCTTTGCAGCATTTCTGCGATCATCAAGGAAGAAGGGATTTTTCCAACGGTCATAGTTAGTTTCAACCACATACCATCTATCGTGCTTGGAGTCGAGTCTAGATACAAAATGAGAGATTCCTCTCAGGCTTCATTGCCTTAAACCTGTACCTATGTCAGCCTATGCTTTAGTTTCTACTTTTTTAACAAGTGTACTTACTCATATACATCCAAAGATTTTTTTCTGTCCCGTGTAATCACACAGCCCTCCCCAGACTTGTTGCCTCCCAGGATAAAGTACGCTGGGGCCAGTATCTTCGTTTTGGTCAATGTATTCTTGGCTTCCTCATAACTACATAGAAACATTTTTGAAAAAGAAAATGTTTTTAGTTGACTTGGGATGGAAATTTTTTTAGTGTGGAAACAAAGCAAAAACAAATATCTGAGGAACTTTTGTTTTAAAAAAAGAACAGTGAGCAGGGCTCAGGGAACAGTCCCACAACCCATGTGTTGAAACACAGACCTGAAATATTCCCTCTAGTTTGAAGGATAAACAAAACAGCCTTAAGAAACCATCTTCCATGCTTATTGTCTACGCCTTCACTCAACCATAGAACAAGGGGAAACAGTATTTATCACCATACACAGGATTTAGGGAACAAAAAGTAAACCTTGAAAATCAGGGCTATTAATTGAAGTGGGTTTTCAAAGTCTACTAAATCTTATTCCCTGGAAAGCACTTAAAATAGGACTAATGCCCATTTATTCTAGGTCATTTTGATGTAGTACTGGCTAAAGGCAGTTTTGCTACTATAAGATTTCTGCACCAGCATAGAGTATAACTTCTAGGGTAATAGGTATTATGACTTAAATGCATATTTTGTACAATTTTTATTTTGTGTATGGGTGATTTTTTTTGACACCAAGAAAAACTCGTAGGTGCCCTTCACAGTGGCACTATCCCTAGCACTTTTTAAACAAATCATTCATTACCTTGCTTTATTATTATTATTATTTTTTTAGAGAAATGATGTTTTATCTTCAAAAAAAACCAAAAATTTGAAAACTGACAGTTCAACAGAAATTACCTTGCTTTAAACACACACAGAATTCCATATGAGTTTCACCTAAGAAATTCTGAAATAATTCTTCAATGGAAGACATGCTGGAAAATATTTTTATATTTTAATATGAATAATTTAAATAAACTACAGGGCCGGCCGAGTGGCTCAGTTGGTTAAGAACTTGCTCAAGAGTGCGAGCTCTGAGCAACAGGGTCACTGGTTCGATTCTCGGCCCGAGCTGAGCTGCCAGTGAGCTGCCAACAGGTGGCAAGATGGCTCAGCTAAAAAATAATAAACTACAATACACTAAAATGATCATACACAGGCAGTAAGCCCCTTGACATCAGTCGTGGCTATGACTTTTTTGGATTTGATACCAAAAGTAAAGGCAACAAAAGCAAAAATAAACAAATGGGACTATATCAAACTAAAAAGCTTCTGCACAGCAAAGAAAGTCATCAACAAAATGTAGGGGAAACCTACTAAATGGGAGAAAATAATTGCAAATCATATATCTGACAAAGGGTTACTATCCAAAACATATAAAGAACTCATACAATTTAATAGCAAAAGAAAAAAAATCAATCCAATTAAAAAAGGCAGAGATTCTGACTAGACATTTTTCCAAAGAAGACATACAGATAGCCAACAGGTACATGAAAAGGTGCTTAATATCACTATTTGGGGAAACGCAAATCAAAACCACAATGAGATATCACCTCACACTTGTCAGAATGGATATTATCAAAAAGACAAGAAATACGTGTTGGTGAGAATGTAGAGAAATAGGAATGCACTGTCAATGAGATTGTAAATTGATGCCTGTGGAAAACAGTACAGTCTCCTCGAAAAACTGAAAATAGAACTACCATATGATCCGGCAATTCCACTTATGGGCATTTAGCTGAAGGAAATGAAAACACTAATTCAAAAAGATATATATATATATCCTCATGTTCACGTCATTATTTACAATAACCAAGATATGGAAACAACCTAAGTGTCCATCAATGGATGAATAGATAAAGAAAATATGGTGTACACACACACACACACACACACAAATATTATTCGGTCATAAAAAAAGGAAATCTTGCCATTTGCAACAACACGGATGGACCTTGAGGGCATTGTGCTAAGTGAAATATATCAGAGAAAGACAAATACTATTTAGTCTCACTTATACGAGTATGTAGAATCTTAAAAAAAAAATCTTATAGATACAAAGAACAGATTGGTGGTTGCGAGGCAGGAGGTTGGGGGAAGGCAAAATGGGTAAAAGGGATCAAAAGGTACAAACATTCAGTTATAAAATAAATTAGTCCTGGAGATGTAGTGTACAGCATGGTTGCTATATTAGTAATACTGTATCGCATTGAAAGTTGCTAACAAAGTAAGTTTTCACAAGAAAAAATAATTTGTAACTGTGTGGTGATGGATTTTGCAATATATACAAATATCACAATATTTTTGTACACTTTAATATACATCAATTACATTAATAAAAAAGTTTAAAAATAAATATTAAATTTGAAACTAAAGCAAGCAGATTACCTTGTGCTATTTTCCAGAACTGATCTAGAGATAAACCCTATCCACATGGCATCTTTCCTTCCCAAAATCCATTCTATGACACCTGCAAGAGATCAAGCATATACAGTGTCACAGGACCTGGAAACGGTGAGACTATTAACCAGAAGACACAGCCCGGCTCTCCTCTTAAAACATCTATGATTTTCCCATTGCATTTCATAACTCTCTACTCACCCATATAACCGCCATTTATAGTGAAACGTTCATTCAGTGTAAGACTAAATAGTCCCTGGGAAAAAGAGAAAGCAGTGAAGTCAGAAACTTAGACCATCCCGTTTAAGTCCCTCTCACTTTATATGGTGTATCAAGGCCTGGATTGGGTACTGGGGAATGCAAAGATAAATCAAAACCATGGTAATAACACCTTCTATTAAAGAGCCTTTTTTAGAAGTTCAAAGCATTTTCACATTTAGTGTGTGAGATAAGTCAGCGGGATGTTACTGGCTCACTTTTCTGACAAGGAAACTGAAGTGCACAGAATTCATGCCTGACTTGCCTGAGTGGGAGACCCAGGACCAGACTCCAGGTTTATATTCCCAGCCCTCGACATCCAGACACATGCTTTCCCCCTAGAATGGGCTCGGAAACCTTCACTTCCTGTCTACTCTTCTCTACTATGTGAGCTCATGTCTATGAAGGTGACAAGAAATACACAGGGATGAACTGGGGCTTCGTATTCTTTTTAGGTCCTCATTGCCTTAGAATCTACCCTTCAGAGAGTTAAAAATCAGGTCACAGAGCCACCTGTGAAATTATGTAACAGGAGGTTCCTTACCGGTTTGAATCCTGTTAACATGCCCACATAGCCAGCAAAGCTTGAAGCCTTGAAGATGGTTTTATTGTTTCTTTGGAAGTCCAAATTCACTGTTAACGGTTTTAGTTCCTCAGTTACGACCCAGGTATTGTTATTTATATTCCACCTACAAAAGACAAATTCAGTGATATTTAAGAACAATGCTGATGACTACTATGAATGGTGACTATGATGACTATGCCAGGCGTTACACTAGGTACTTTATCTAACCTACTCCCTAATGACCCGTCCTAACAAGACCTTTGCAATATGGGTGGTTTTATCCTCCATTTTTTTCACATGACAGAGATGAGGCTCAGAGACGTAAGTAGCTCTCCCAATATTAACAGCTTATAAATACCAAACTCCAGATTCAAATTTAGGTCTCTGTTTATAAAGCCCTGTTCTATTTTATTTAGAAAGGCCAAGAAGACACATAAAATAGAATGCTCTTCTTCCTTTTAAGCAATAAAACGAGACATGCTTCTGGGACCTCCAGACATGCTCTAGATTTCTGCTCAATGGATTACATACACTCAGTTACATATTCTCAAATAACTGATAAGAGTCTGCCCATCTTGTCTCAAAACAAATGAATCCAGTCTCTTCACTTGTGGTCACACTTTGAGCATGACTTGGGACTTATTTTTCATCAATGTAATACAATCTACTCTTCTTAAGAACCAATAATTTTTTTTTTTTTACTTACCCAAGAAATATTCCAAAATCCATGTTTCGCCCATGTAGTAGATGACCTTATTGAAAGTAAGTAAAAAAGACTATATGTAGCAGTTATGATAATATGATTGATCTTAAATCAAAGCTGGACACTTAACTTTGGTTAATATTAACACCTGTTCAATCCAACAATAAGAATTAACAGCATCCTGATACCATTAAGTCTTAAGATCAAACTGTTATCGCTGTCAAATTAGTCAGAACCCCTATAATCCCCAAGAGCACAGGATTCCAGGTAAGATTACAATATGGGAAAAGAATCAGGGTCATTCTTCGGTTCACTATGACGTGGTCCTGCCCAGACATAGCTATTTTAGCCTCACCTAATGTGACTTGCCAATATGCTTCCCTTTGGGCATGGTCACCTACAGCTCAACACCTCAAGGGTTAGGTACAGGCAGACTTTATACCCAGAGTACAGGTCAAAAATAAGAGTGAATCAGGGTAAATCCTCCTGTGCCTTGTAGTCTGCGGATCTGCCACGGGAACCACAGGAAAGCGAGGATGGTCTACAGAGGGCCCCTTGTACACAGGGAAATAGTGGGAGATTTGTCCTGAGCTCCAAAGGAAAGGCTGGGATCATTACGTATATGAAGACAATGAGGCACCCCTGTGAGTACTGATATCAAATTATGAAGACGGGTGTAAGTACACTATGAGGTAGGGTAAGAGTGTTTATAGTTCTGAAACACTTCTAAGTTTTTTTGCACGTCTGAATTCAACTTTAATAGGCATTACAGTGGTCTTAAAATAGGGATAGTTTTCAATTCACTTTAAAAAATTTACCAAGATCCATAAAACTGTAAGCAACATACACAGAATTTGCACAGCAAGCCTAGACCGTACAAGCTCTAATTCCACTTGTTTAGATTTTTCTTTTACTCCGTACTTTGCAGTGCCCACCCTCCCTCAGCACACATTTACCTTTTTTGTCTTCTGTTATTATTGAAGTACAAATGGTAAAAAATTCATAGAAGATATTGAATGAAATAATTTCTCCTATGAGAAAAGATAGGAAATTTTTTGGTTAATATACAGAACCTTAACATTATTAGAAAATTATTTTTGAAGAAAAGGTTGAACCACCATCACTGTGTGAGTTCTTGCTTTGGCAAAGTTAAGTGTCTGCAGACCAGTGTGAATGTGTCTGAACAGCTGGCTGGGTGATGGTCTCTTATCAGCCTGTATACTCTGATGACTAAAGATAAAACATGTCCCCAAAGAGGGAGCTATTGGGAAAGCTGAACATCTGGGCATGTTGGAATTCGACTATAACACACATCCACAGCTTTTCTTTCTTTTTTTTTTTTTAAGATTTTATTGGGGAATTGAGGGAAGGAACAGCGTTGGAGAATCAGGGAAGGGGAACAGGCAAGTTGCTGTCCTTTTTGTTCTTCAGTCTAGTTGTGGAGGATGTCGCTTCACTGG